AATACATATAATCCCCTAAACTTTGTGAGCCATTATAATTATTTATTATCCAGGGCTTTACAAAGAAATAAAATGTGTAGGAAGATTCTTTTGTTGTTGTTGTTTTGACAACTGAGCTGTTGTTTTATTTATTTTATTTTCATTTAATTTAAATTTTATTAGTTAACATAGAGTGCAATATTGGTTTCTGGAGTAGAATTCAGTGATTCATCACTTACAAATAACACCCAGTGCTGATCTCAAGTGCCCTCCTTAATACCCATCACCCATCTAGCCCTCCTTCCTCCAGCAACCCTCAGTTTGTTCTCTGTCATGAAGAGTCTCTTATGGCTTGTTTTCCTCTCTCCTTTTTTTCTTTTCCCCCTTTCCATATGTTCATCTGTTTTCTTTCTTAAACCCTACATATGAGTGACATCATATGGTATTTGTCTTTCTCTGACTTATTTCACTTAGCATAATAATACATAATAATACACTCTAGCTCCATCCATGTTATTGCAAGCGGCATTCATTCTTTTTGATGGCTGAGTAATATTCCTGTGTGTGTGTGTGTGTGTGTGTGTGTATACACCACATTTTTATCTATTCATCACTTAATGAAGACTTGGATTTTCTCCATAGTTTGGCTATTATTGATAAGACTGCTATCAACATTGGGGTGCATGTATCCCTTTGAATCTGTATTTTTATATCTTTTGGGTAAATACTTAGTAGTGTAATTGCTGGATCATAGGGTTGTTCTATTTTTAACATTTTGAGGAACCTCCATACTCTTCACCAGAGTGGCTGCACCAGTTTGCAGTCCCACCAACAATGCGAGAGGGTTCCCCTTTCTCTGCATCCTCACCAACACCTGTTGTTTCTTGGGTGTTGTTAATTTTAGCCATTCTGACAGGTGTGAGATGGTATCTTATCGTGGTTTTGATTTGTATTTCCCTGATTGATGTTGAGCATCTTCTCATGTATCTATTAGCCACCTGGATGTCTTTTTTTTGGAAAAGTGTCTGTTCATGTCTTCTGCTCATTTCTTAACTGGGAATGTCCATGCCACTCTCTATAGAGATGCAAAACTCCTTGAGGTAATCCCAGCCTGTTACCTTCTGCTTTCCAATTGTTGGTTTTAACTAGCAGAAATTCACCTTGGGTGTCAGAAAGCCTGGACTGGAGAGTAGTTGGGCACGATGCAAATGTAAATTACTATTTTAAGTGGCAAGTTTCACTCAGAGCACAAGTTTAAGGTAATTCTTTGTGCTTGTCTGAGGTGTCCAAAGGGTAGGTACATCCCTGTATTGATATTGAAAGATGGAGCAGTTGGCAAAGACAAATTCATATCCTAGTTTTCTTTAGTGCCAGACTCCTTTGAGACACCTGGTATGTGCTCATGAGCTGATATGACCAGCGATAGGTTTCCTGTGGACTAACCAATGGTTAGCAAGCCTATTAGAGTGTCTTTAGGGTATAATTATAATCCACATTTAATAAGGCTCAACATCTGCCAGATGTATGGTCAATGCTTTGAAGGCAGATCCTCAATAGTTGTTTGAAGCAGGGGAGTATTACTGATCATTTGAGTGTAAGCGTCTGTACTAAATTGTCAGTACCCTTAGTACTTTAGTACCGACATTGTCAGTGCCTTAAGAGCAGAAACTCTGTTTACCTTGTACATGCAGATAGAGTCTAAGCTTTTCTTAAATGAAGAAGCAGCATTGTGTAACGGTCAGGTGCCAGGGGCTTAACCCCTAGTTCACAATTTAGTAGCTGTGTGTCCTCGGATAAATTGACCTCTTTGTGCCATAGTTTCTTCATAGAGTAGGGATTTGAGAAGTATCTACTCCTTGAGATCTTATGAAGATGAACTAAATGAATATTTGCAAAGTGCTTAGAACAGAACCCAGCACACTGCAAGTGCCATGCAAGTATTAGCTAAATAATTTTTCTTAATATTTGTATTTGTAGATGAGAAAATTGAGTTTAGACGAGGAGCTTAAATGCCCTTCATAGCAACGTCATAAGAGGACACATACTACAGAAAAAGAAAAGAAATAATTATTCAAATACTGCTAAAAGTATTTGGGTATAATAAAAATGAAGTTTGAGGTGAGAAATTAAGGATTATATAAAGGTGTTTAAGATCATTGGGAAGTGGTGCACCTGGGTGGCTCAGTCGGTTAAGCATTCGTCTCCTGATTTTGGCTCAGGTCATGATCTCAGGATTTTGAGATCAAGCTGAGCATTAGGCTCCATGCTCAGCACGGAGTCTGCTTGAGATTCTCCCTCTCCCTCTCCCTCTGCTCATGCTCTCTCTCTCTCTCTCTCTCTCTCTCAAATAAATATCTTTAAAAAAAGATCATTGGAAAGTGCTATTATATGTTGGTATATATTAAGATGAAAAGGTGAGATAAAGAAAATCCAGAGCTGCCCAAAGTTATGGTTGCTTAAAATGATTCAAATTAAACTGGAGTCCTTGGTATATTGTTGTAATTCAGAAGCAAATCTAACTACGGGCTTCATATCTTTAAGTTTGGAAAAACTTAAATGAAGTCAATATAATTGAAAACTTCATAGAAGTGTATTATAAAATTGAATTATAGCATCAAGGTTTTACAGTACTGGGTGAGGTAGTTTTGCAAGGAATTTAGCAGAAATGCAAAAAATAAAATGCCCCATCCTCAGGGCTCAGTCAGTTGAGCGACTGATTCTTGATTTAGGCTCAGGTCATGATCTCAGGGTCATGAGATCAAGGCCTGGGTCAGGCTCCATGCTCAGTGCAGAGTCTGCTTGAGATTCTCTCCCTTTCCCCCTGTCCCTCACCCACTCCAGGCTCTCACATGTGCATCCTCTCTCTTCTTCTTCTCTTTCTTTCTCTCTCTAATAAATAAATCTTAAAAAAAATAAAGATAAAATGCCCCATCCTGAATTGTTAGGGGTCAGTTGACGAATGAGGATATAAATATTTAAGGCATCCCAAGGATAGGATAGGCAGGACCAGTTCAAGAAAGGGCTGGAATAATTGTCTGGAGCAAATTCATACAGGGGATGAGAAGTCTACAAATGGAAAGAAAAGAGTGTCCTTTTGCTTTCCTACACAGAGAGGGTGACAAAGAAATAAGCACATTTTTAAAAAATTAATTAAATCAATGTAAAATTGCTATCTAGTCCATTTCTGAGAAATACCTGCTCATCAAGTTGGAGTTGGTTCTACTCCCCACACCAGTCTGGCTCACTGCTTCTTTCTATTCTCGAATCATCTGTCCTTTCCCAGTTGATTGCTTTCTTTGAAATCCATCTCTGACTGTAATTCCTTCAATTTGCTTATACATTGCAGATTATATCTGTATCTGTATCAATGAAAAGTAAAACTTTGGTGTATAGTAAGCATGAATGCCAAGTCACAAATTGAGGTGTATAAGGAATTTAATTTTTTATAGAAAAACTGAATTTTTCTCTTTTGAGTTTCCTTTCACTATGTATTGCAAATTAAATTCTTACTGAATAAAGTTCCCCATCTCCAAACTCATTTTTTCTAAGGTTTTATTTATTTCATCAGAGAGTGAGTGAGAGTGAGCATGTGCATGCAATGTATGCAGGGGTTGTGGTGTGAGAACAGAGGGAAGGAGAATCTCAAGACTCCATGCTCAGTGTGGACCCCTACACTGGGCTCTATCCCAGGACCCTGAGATCATGACCTGAGCTGAAATCAAGTTGGATGCTCAACCGACTAAGCCACCCAAGTGCCCCCCCTAAACTCAATTCTTGAGAAAGGAATACCTAGTATTAAAACAATATGGTAAGAGATGGATGGGGCAAGAGGAAGCTAGTCCAGGTTGTCTGCATCCAATCACAGTGACATTATTTGAGACTTAGATCACTAATGTGAACTCTGGTCCTCAGCACATGCATGTTGCTCTTTTCTCCTTATTTGCAACCATGCCTCTCCAGGACAGCTCTCTAGCAAGAGATATTGAGCTCTTCTCTGGCTTGTGGACAACCTTTACCTGCTTCCACTATGGGATTCCTGGAAACTTGCTGCAGCCAAGATCTTTCTACCTAGATGTTCCATGACGCCATTTCTATGCTACTGCCCCTTTACTATACTGGGTAATGGGGAACTCTGGATCTTGCTGGCTCCCTGGACTTTGTTTCAGTTTTGAGGCACATTCATCTTTCTCTGACATCCCAACCCTAATGCAAAGTTTATATTATCCCTACCTTCCTCTCTGCCTTTCCTCAACCTGTAGAATATTTTATTATTATTATTATTATTATTATTATTATTATTATTATTATTATCAGAGGAGAACTGCTCTTACATATTAGGAATCAGTCCAAGTCTTTCTGGTCAAAATTTTATTGCACAATTCTTTAGTGTTCACAAACACGATAATCTGATATTCTCCAGTATCCCAAAGCCCTTTTCAAACTGATATTTTCTGTTCTGATTTATCAACCCTCTCTTGGCACAACTAATGCCTCCTAGCCCAGCAGACAAGGGAAAGGTCATTGATTCCAGGGGATACCAGGGAAAGCACATCTGTTAATATTACAAGCTGATCCATCTATTCATAAATCAGCAAATCCTAACATTTCTGGACTTGGCTATGACTGACTTCTTCACAATTTCTCCTATATACTTTCTGAATTTTCTAGAGCTCTCAGCACCAATCCTATTTCACACCTTTACACCTTTACTCATGTGACTCCTATCCCAAACAACCTTCCTCTCCCTCTTTGCCTGGGCAATTCCACACTTACACAGTAAAGTTTAATGGAAAAGAGCATGGTCTCAGTTCAGACCTCAGATATTTAGCTTTACCACCTACTTCATGTAACTCCATTACTTAACCTCCCCCTACCTGACTTTCCTCATCTGTAAAATGGGTATTAGGAGTGCCTTTCCCAAGGGTTTGTTATAGGGATTAAATAAAATAATATATATGTAGTACTTAAAATGGTATCTAGCAAATAGTAAGCACTCAATAGCATTGGCTATTTTCACTCACCTTTCAAGACTCACTCATGCTCACCCTCCTACTACTCCCATTCTTGTGTCCTTGGCAGTCATTAAGGCTGCAGGCCATACTTTAGCCCCTGAAGGTGGAGAAAAAAAGGATCAGGGCATTGACTAGAAAGGGCTTAGGGTGAACTTTCTCAGAGAGCATTTTGTAGAGTAACCTTTAAAAAAAAAAAAAAAGATTTTATTTATTTATTTGACAGAGAAACAGCGAGAGCAGGAACACAAGCAGGGGGGGTGGGAGAGGGAGAAGCAGGCTTCCCGCTGAGCAGGGAGCCTGATGCGGGGCTCCATCCCAGGACCCTGGGATCATGACCTGAGTCAAAGGCAGACGCTTAAGGACTTAGCCACCCAGGTGTCCCTGTAGAGTAACCTTTTAATAATATATTTGCTGCAGCTTTTTTATGTTAAGAGTCTTGTTTCCTTCTGTAACCACACATAATATTATAAATCCCACTTCTGCTACATTAGCACACCAGGATTGGTGGGGGAATGAATGTGGAAGGAAGAAAAGGAGATTTGTACCCAAATACTACTAAAGCTAGTACTGCTACCCCTATTTTTTCCAATAAAGGGGGAAAAAGGTTAATGGAGACAGAATGACATATTCAAGTTTAGAGGCTATATGATAAGTAGTTAAATCATGACTCAGTTCAGCTCTTAAGACTTCCATCATCTCGGTGTTTAAATGTAATTCCACTTCTCTTGGGAGTGTACCTTCTTTGAAGAATATAAGTGGTATCTAGTCATAGAAGACAGAGAGGATTTTAGTTCTAGAAATTGGACCCTGGCTTCTCTCACTGCTCTGCAGGACCTGCCTGGCCTGTTTGGGTTGTAATCCCAGTTTCTTAAAGACTTACTATTAAACTCATTGACTTGAATCTTGTCCCAAGGTTTCAAATTTCTTGCCTCAGATACAGTTCTTATCTTAAGGCAAACCCTTCATTTTCTTTGCACAAAATTCCAGGGCCTGGATATCATCTCGTCTTTGGGTAACATCTTCCAGATTTGTTTTAAGCTGATTGCATGTTGCTGAACAATCAGATTTTCTGCCCTAAGCAGCACAAAACCAAGTGATGACAGCGCTGGCTCCTGGCCACCAGCAATGGGATGACACCGCACGGGTCTTTGGTAGTCATGATTGGGTCTTGGGTGTTCGCAAATGGCTACATACCCCTCAAGAGTGGGAAAGGGAGTCTCTCTTTCTCTCTCTCTCTCGACACATGGTGTGGGAACTCATCTGTGTTAGGGCTGTTTTTGCCATTGCCGTACCCCCCCACACACACACTCAATCTACCTTTCACAACCCTACATTTTCATACACTTATATTTCTCATGGAGACCCGCTGAGTGTTTTAACAAACTACTTGAAGTCTGAAACAAATAATACATTATATGTTAAAAAAAAAAAAAAAGATAGCAGGAGGGGAAGAATGAAGGGGGGGAAATCGGAGGGGGAGACGAACCATGAGAGACTATGGATTCTAAGAAACAAACTGAGGGTTCTAGGGGGAGAGGGGTGGGGGGATGGGTTAGCCTGGTGATGGGTATTAAAGAGGGCACGTTCTGCATGGAGCACTGGGTGTTCTACACAAACAATGAATCCTGGAACACTACATCAAAAACTAATGATGGAATGTATGGTGATTAACATAATAAAAAAAAAACTACTTGAAGAAATGGAGTGCCAGGGGAAATGTAGGCAGAACTTGGCATATGTGTTTGGGAAATATGAAACCTAAAATGTGAAAAATCTTGAGATCAGTTTTATTTTTCTGGTCTAAATGTTCCATTCAAGTTTCCCTCTCTCATTCCATTAGTTTATCATCTCCTGAGCTGCATTTACCGATGCTGTATGTCAGTGCATGACAGTGATTCCTGCAGTCTTATTTTTCTCAGTCTACCACAGTAGGGGCTACCTGTGGAGGCAGAAATGTGTACCAAGAACAACCTGCTTTATTCAGCCTCTCTGTACCTTAATGCAGAATTCAGGGATGTCCTAGTGGCTTTCACCATACAGAATGGAGCACTACCAGAAGAGAACATGGGGGAATGAGAAAGTGACAGTCAAGCAAAAGGCTCACTGAGCTTTATTAAATACGTGCCAGGAGCAGTGTTCTGGGATAGAAAATGCAAAGGATACCACAAATAAAACAAAGCCCCCAACTTTCAGAATTTCAGTTTGAGGAAAGCCAACATAATGAAAGCTTCCTGGAAATACTGAACATGACCTACAAAGTATCAAGTTAGTTCTAGAGGCAACTATTTCTGTAAAAGATTAGAAAGTAAGATGGCTTGAAATGATGAGAGGATGCTTTCAAAGTCTGGAACCTAAACTGGGCTGTGAAGAGTGAGCAGGAATGAGATATTTCAGAAGCCAAGAAAAGGACATTCCCAGGTGAGAGGGAGACAAGAGCAAGATTTCAGAGTAGAGAAGATTGAAGGATGAGTGTGGGAAAACTGAGGGATTAAGTTTGGCTAAAGGGCTCACACAGGTGACAGTGCCTACCCCCTAGTAGGATTCAGGAAACATCTGTGAAATGCATGGGGAAGGGTTAAAAAGATGGGTTGATGTCACATTACGATACATGGCTATTTTCTCTGTACTTTTTCTAGTTGGTTAAAGGTGATAATGTGATTGAAGCTAAACATGGAATCTGAGCTTACGCTTTCTGAATATGTGTCAAAACTTAATCTTCATCAGTCATGTACAGAAAGGGGGTTATAATCACAAAGAGAACGAGGTGAGATTTTAGGTATACGGGTCAGATTAGAGGCATCTGCTTTTGCTGGAAAAGAACTAAAGTGTGTGAGGAACATCTAAAAAAACCTGCTTGTAAATGGGCCTCGTGAAAGCCAGAACTCTGGAAACATTCTTTTCCAGTTTTGCTAATGAGTGGGGCCAACATTTTGACTGCAAAAGTAAGAGGGAGCAGCACCCTGCATTAGACTGGCCTGTTTGGTCCTCTTCTCCACTGGGTTCTAAACTCCCCAAGGTAGGAACTAGCTTCAATGTTGTAACCCTAGCACCTAGCAAAATCCCTACCACATACTCAGTGTTGACTGGGTATGTGTTGCTTGAGTTAATTTATTAAAACATGTGATGTGGTTCTTTAATTCAGAGCAAGTCGAAGTTCTTTAACTGCATCAAATCAATAAAATGATGAGCTAAGGCAAACTAAGTTTACACAATGGATATGGTTGGATTACCCTATGTATGAATTAAACTATAAACGACTACAACTGAATAACTTACAGTGGTGTCACCAATTTCTCCTCAGGTGTGGATGAGAGAACAATATCTAGTTTGGACCCATCTGAATTTCTCCACTTGGTATGTTTTTGAGAAATTGCTGATTCTATTGCTGGTTCAGAAAGGGGTCATTCCCCAGTGTTTGCAGATTTTCCAGATTTTTGTAATTGCTCAAAGTTTATTTTTAGAACATTCTTGAAATTCCAAGGCATTTTGTTCTCTCCAGTGCCCTGAAACATGATTTTTATCAATCCCTTATTGTCCTGGAAGTGTCCAATTTGTCTGTGTGTAACAACAGCCTTCACCTGGAATCTGTGTAATTACCATAGCATCCCTGATACTGTTTTTTTGGGCAGTACCCGAAAGGTTTTGCTATATCTTGACCCTTTTCATGACAATTTCTTGATCGGAGTTTAAAGATGATATCCAACATACTTTCCAATCATCTAAATGTGATGCAAATAGTATTTAGAAAAACGAGTAGGGCAAAACAAAAACCCTGCAAAATATTTTTATATATAAAATGTCTCTATTATTTGTTTAAAAAGATACACATCTTACTATAATAAACTCAAAGCAAACAAACAAAAAATAAAAATACCCCAAAGTCAAACATAAAATTATATATATGCACATGTGTATAAAACAAATGATCAACTATAATTTCACTTTAAAACTAGAATTAAAAACAAAAACAAACAAAACCCCTGGAAATGCTGAAGAAATTGCTGAAGTCCGGGTGCATTTTTTATTTTTTATTCACATATAATTGACCTACAATGTTATATTCATTTCAGATGTATAATACAGTGATTTGACAATTCTGTACATTACTAATGATCACCGTAGTGTGAGTCCCATCTGTCAGCATACAACACTATTGCAACATTATTGACTCTATTCCCTATGCTGTATTTTTCATTTCCATGACTTACTCATTTTAGAACTGAAAATTTCTACCTCTTAATCCCATCACCTATTTTACCCATCCTCCACCCACCTCCTCTCTGGCAACCACCAGTTTGTTCTCTGTATTTAAGAGACAGTTTTTGTTTTTTAGTTTCCACATGTAAGTGAAATTATATGGTATCTCTCTCTCTCTCTCTCTCTCTCTCTCTCTCTCTCTGACTTCCCTTAGCATAATATCATTTAGGCCCATCCATGTTGTCAGACATGGCAAGATTTCATTCTTTTTTTACGGCTGAATAATATTCCTGGTGTGTGTGTGTGTGTGTGTGTGTGTGTGTATCTCACACTTTATCCATTCATCTATTCATGAACACTTGGGTTGCTTCCATATCTTAGCTATGGTAAATAATGCTGCCATAAACATAAAACATGTCTTTTTTTATTAAGTGTTTTCATGTTCTTTGGGTAAATATCCTATAGTGGAGTTATTGGGTCATATGGTATTTCTATTTTTTTTTTTTGAAGAACTTCTATACTGTGTCCACAGCAGTCACACAAATTTACATTTCTATCAACAGTGCCCGAGGGTTCCTTCTTCTCTACATTTTCCCCAGTACTTGTTATTTCTTGTCTTTTTGATACTAGCCATTCTGACTGGTGTGAGGTGATATCTCATTGTGGTTTTGATTTGTATTTTCCTGATGATTAATGATGTTGAGCATCTTTTCATGTGTTTATTGGCCATCTGTATGTCCTCTTTGGGTCTATTCAGAACCTCTGATAAGTTTTTAATCAGATTATTTACTTTCCTTTGGTGTTGAGTTGTGTAAGTTTCTTTATATATTTTAAATATTAATCACTTATCAGATCTATCATTTGCAAATATCTTTTCCATTTCGCTAGCCTTTTCATTTT